CCCAAATCCCATTCCTGGCTGCTGCCGCCCCCCTGCTCCTCCAAAGAGTCCCCACACAGCCTGTTTTGGATGCAGGTAAGTGCAAAGCATTCGTGGAAGCTTTGGGGAGGGTGAAAACAGACCTCCTGGAAGTTTGGGAAGGCCAGGAATGGGTCCGTTTCTGGCTTCCAGAGAGGCTGTAGAGCCAGGGGAGGCCATTTTCACCCTTCTGGAGGCTCAGGGAAACCTCCAGATAGTCCGGGAGGGCAAAAACGCTCCCCTCCCACTATGGGGCAGGAGGTTGATTAGGCCACACCCACCATGGCCACACCCACCCAGCAAGTAGGCAGAGAACCTGTTGCTAACATTTTTGACCCCCGGTCTAGGTTGATAGCGGGGTATTGTTTACTGCTCGATTGTTGGTCTGGTGTAAGTCAACCCTGAGCTACAAATATATTCTTTTTTTTTCAATGTTTTATTTTTTAGAAACAAAAATAGAAATCTCTATTCACATTAACAGTGTTCGTGTCATTATTAATACATACCTCTCCTTTTATACATAAACATAAGCTCTTATTTCTATCCCCCACCCATTTGTACCACCGATGCCAAACTGCGTAATAGTCCGAATCCTATTTGCCTCTTAATTCCATTGAGAATTTAACCAGTTCCGCACAATCCATTATGTTTTGTGCCAAGTCTTCTTCAGATGGTATCTTTTCCTTCTTCCATCCCTGTGCGAAGGCTATTCTCGCTGCAGTTATGATATATAAAATGACCTTGATCAATTTTCCCTTAATTATTCCTAATAAGAAAGTTTCCGGCTTGAGTTCTAATTTGTGCTCTGTAATTTCTAATAATCATTTTCATTACAAATATATTCTCCTATTGGAACTCTGTACTATACAAATGAGGTTTTAAATAATAATTTCCAGTAAAACGAGGACTAAAAGCTATCACTAAACTCTAAAAGTATCAAAAAAACCTTACAAACACACATACAGAGAGAGAGAGAGAGCTGAAATACTAGAGACTGATGCTCAGACAACATTAAACATTTCACCCTTCCCTTCTGGGGAAAAATACCAAAAAATATAGCAGTAAATATTAATGATGCAGAACTTGTCAATTCCAGATACAGATTTTTTTCCCCCACGGTAGAAGAAAATGGCAGAAAGAGGGCCATTTTCTTAGGTGTGGTGTGTTTGTTTTTAACCCAGGTGGCTACACTGCTATACGCTGGAGTAATTGTAGGTAGGAATGAAAACGCCATTAAAATCGCATAAAACCCAGGCCAGTGCGCCGTAAGGTTGTCATAATCCCAACGCAATACTTTTGCCAAATGTCTCACTTTTTCCCTGAGTGTACACCTAGTCTTCTCATCAACCATGTCAAAAGATTTCTTGAATTGCTCACATTGAAGCGTTTAATAGAATGGTAGTTAGCTACGTTGCCAAAAAGAAGGCTAATTGCAAAACCATGCTACGTAAAATTATTCCTTTTTTATTTTTAAAGGTGGGGGAGTCATATTAGTTAAGAGGCACCTTTGAGGTTGGGAAACTCAAAGTGAACTTTTATTTTTTTAACCCTCGTCCCTATTTTTTAAATCTGGATAATTTTTAGATTTTGTTTCAAAACTGGTTCACTGCTGGCAAAGTGTTAGTAAAATCAAGGCTGGGATACCTGTGTAATCCAAAGATCCAGCTAAATTGCTAAATTGATTGCTTGTCTTCAGATGTGGATCTGGGTATGAATGAAATACAATTTCCATTTATCTTAAAACCCTCGGATTTTTCTTCTCATATTTTTCATAGTATATCCTAGGACAACCGTTCTTCTTCGGTCCTCTTAGCATCCTCATTTCTCCTGAGTACAGTCTCAACTCATCCCTACAGAGACCAATATGATTACCTGAAAATGATGTTCAGAATTATCTCTCACTGATACACATAAACTAATTTGGATTGCTGCAAACAACTGAATTAAAGAGCAGTGTGAAAGGAAAGAGATTAAGCCAAGGGTCTTCAAACTTGGCAAGTTTAAGACTTCAACTCCCAGAATTCCTGAGCTAACATGACTGGAGGAGGAATTCTGGGAGTTGAAGTACACAAGTCTTAAAGCTGTCAAGTTTGAAGACCCCTGAATTAAGGGAAGGACCCACAGGTCAGTAATATAATCTAGGTCTTGATAAGACATCGATGGAATACAACAGCAACATAGCAAGCTACATTGACCTGCTCTCCACCCAAATCAGAAGCTGGAATCCTCTCTTCTTCCAAGACTCTTCTTCCAAGACTCTTCTTCGAGAGGGAAAGTCCTTGAAGAGACAGGACTTTAACACAGAATGTGGCATTCCTTGTCTTTCTTTTCAGTCCCCATAGAATGCTATTGCAGATTTACAGGAGATTACAATTCAGAGACTGGGAAGATCAATTCATTAGAAGATGCAGGTTATGAAAGGACAGATTATCTAGATAGCCTGGAGCTCAAAGACCGTCAATTTTATGGTCTTGGGTCCTAGAACGTATGGTCCTGATCTGAAGATGGTAGCCATTTCCCAGTAGAATTTGAGCTCCCGACAATCTATCTTGCTGGTAGAAGGTTCTTAGTTCAATCTAGTAAAAAGAACCTTGTGGTGGATCTTGGCACTGAGTTGAGGGGAGGACTGAACCTACTAACTAGCTTTATTGGCTTGTGTGGAGGACGTGACCGAAGGGTACAGGACATCAGGAATGAAGGTGGTTCAATGAATATAGGTTGATTGCATGCTAACACTCCCTACAAGAACCTGAACTACTAATGGTCAAAGCAAATTGGTGGTAGTAAAGAGTCAATGGAATTCAAGGTGGACTGGAATTAGATCTCTTGTGGGCATGAAAGGACTCGAGACTGGTGACATGCTTAACTTCTCCCGCAAGCTCAGCCTGGTCCTCTACAGTGATCCTCCTTAAAACTTTGCAGAATTTATCTAGTAAGAGCACTTTGGTCTGATGGGACTCCTGCCTATAGATAGGCAACCATAAACGTACCGCTCTGATCAGCTCATCATGTCATTTCTGGTTCCTTGAGCCTGAGTGGTGAGGAAAATAATTGCCCATACTTCTCCACAGCCATTGCTAATCAGAGATCAGTCTTGGCTACAAGAGATTTGGTTGGCACGAAACGTTACAGCCTAAAGGGACTGATTTGTTTGGCTTGCTTCAGTATGGCAGCTCACAAAAGAAAAACACAGCTTATTTTTCACCAACAAATCATAACTGGAAATCATTACTCCCACTTTGTTTTAAATGCAGTCGATCCTTAGGTATGAAGCCAGAATCCTGGATTACTCCTAGCTTGTTTTTATTCTTTGTCCATTTCTTCCGGGAATTGGCTGAAGAAATCCAGAGACAATGTCAAGCATAGTGTAGGCTTGCTTTGAATTTGCTACACAAACTGTTATCTTGCCATAAGGTTAAGTGTGAGGGAAAATTACTTCTCATATCCTGAGGAGTGACAGCAAAAGAGGGGGATGTCAGCTTGGAGAAAAGGGAAGAAAGCTTTGTAATTTGATGTTCTCCATTATGGAGCAATCAATCTACTTGTCATAATTAATATTGCATAGGCTCAACAATCTAGTGATAACTACGTGACTGGGTCAAGAGGGACCAGATTTTAGGTATTTATATATATGGTATTCAGCTTTGTTTGGGTATTTTCCCACGTCATTATAGTTGTGCTTTTAAACACAACTATAATGACGTGGGAAAATATCCAAACAAAGCTGAATACCATGCATACATGCATACATACATACATACATACATATCCCTTCCTTCTCCCCTGTGGGAGCTATTGAAGCCTCCATAAATTTTAACTCTATTGCTGACATTTTCCTCAGAAATTCTGGCGGGAAACTTGAATTATCTTCAGTCACCAGACGCCTATTCCTGCTCATTCATCAGCTCTATGAAAACACTTATTTTAGAGTCAAGTGTAAGCTCAGGGGCTCTCCCAGGAGGAATTCTACCCAGAAGGAAATGAAACAGGGTACACTTTAAACACCTTCATTTTCCCATTAACTCTCTGGTGAAATAGGTCATTGAACAAGCTGACAGGTCCCTCATAGTCTCCAAAAGGCCTTTGCATATTTTACTGTACAAATGTTGCAGCCATCAATTCTCCAGTCCCACTGGGAGGAGAATTAACTAAGCAGAAGAACTAGATGTTAGTTTTGATAGCTAACATCTAAGTTAGATGTTAGCTAACAGAAGTAAACTTATATGGAGGGTTATTTGGGGGGAAGGAAGGAAGGAAGGAAGGAAGGAAGGAAGGAAGGAAGGAAGGAAGGAA